ATGTCACCGTTGTTGTTGCTGTTGTACATAATCTATCTCAAAGCTCTCTATACGGTGGCGTTGAATATTGAGTGAGCGCATTACCTAAAGGCTAAATTGCGTGCGCGCCATGTTTATTCATATATTGAGATTTTGGCCACCCTCGGCGCAACGACAATGGCCCCAAAAGGCCGACGACAAATCACTATATCTACCCTTCCCTTGAGGATCAACATTGTAAGACCATTGTGCTCTTGAGACTCTGTGTCGATCACAACCAATTCGGTAATAGATCAACGTACAAGATGATCGGACGCGCATTGATCATCGATCGTCCTCGATCGGCAACGGTATGGTTAAACTCGACCGGAGCGCAAGCAAAGTGTGACTTTTTCTATAGGGCTTCTTCGTGTAGATATATGTATAATGGTATACATTATACAGTGGTTAATAGTAGATCGTTAAAAACTAAATTATATACGCATATTATTATGTATGTAAAGTACATTTGTGTATTATGCGTTTTGTCGCCGCGATAATAATGGGCTCGCATTATAGCCGGAGCTATTAATTATTAATTATCTGTGCAGAAATGTGTACTGTGCGCCAGTATGAACTATATAATATTATATACCTAGTCCTATAATAGTGTGTAATATTTAACTGTGCCTCATGTCCTCACCGATATAAATTATCGACCATTTACTGTAACTGTTTTACATTACAATATGTTGAACAGAAAATTAATCGATTAAATGAAAAATAAAATAAGTAAACACTTATAAAAAATAATTTATTATTAATATATAGTATACTATAGCAGTACAAACAGAATAATATAGTATAAATTTATACCTACTGCGCGTTTGTTTGAGTTTACAGTAATAAATTATGTTTTGGCTGGAATTTAAAATCCATATAAACTATTGTTAAAACCACAACTTTCTCAAAAATTTGTTTTTTTTTTTCGATAAACTAATTTTATAAAACTCCAGATATAATTATTATATGTATTTGTGTATGGGTTTTTAAATCCACAGTGATCTTACACGCAAAACAGTTATATTGTCGACCGGTAAACTTAAATTTCTCGTATGTGAAAAAAAAAACATTTTTGCGGTTTAGCTGTTTTAATGTCACCTAGTACCATTATCACATTTCTTCCGACTAGCTTTTCTAAGGGTTTTATTACAAAGGAACTCAGGAGATAAAAGTTCGATCGGTCGTCAGTGCAGTGCTTGAAAATTAACTAACTTGATGCAAAGTCAATGTCGTTAATCAAAACCACAGTACAAAAACTCCAACAAGTGTTTTTGAGATTTGTGATATCGACTGTGGTAGCACAAGGCACGTTGTATTATTATCTTAAGACCTCAAACTATTGTGACTATACTGGAAGCCGGCAACGTGTTTCAGCTGGCTTGACTGCTTTTTGTATTTTTTTTTTTTTATTAAAATGCAAATAACTGTTGTTGTGGGAATCAAACACTTGCTTGCGAGTGTGTGTTATTATTAAAAAAAATAAGTGTTCTGGCAAGAAGTGCCTATGTAAAACCCCTCGACAATATGCAAATGTCACATCCATTTAAGTACATTTTTGGTTTTGCACGCTTCGAGCCGGTTTTGGCCATTTAAGACAAATTCTGAAATTTCACCGCAGTCGGTGGCCAGTGTATGACATCTTACAAGCTTCTGTTACTATATGTCTGACAACGACCATAATTCTGTGATAGGGTGGCACAAGTTTATGTGTAACTTTTGGGAAAATCCATTTTAATGACAGCAATCAATAGCAATCATAGCCAAATAATGAAACCACCCAGAAATACCATATTCTGCCTCAACGTGTAATACTTATTGGTCATTTTAAAAAACCAAAATTGACACAAAGTTACATATTATCCTACAACAGCTATCGTGCTGGCTGTTAAATAAATATCGTGTGAAACCGTAAGACACAATATTGTGTTACGCGAAAATTTAACGAATACGAATACCTAATAATAATAATATAAGTTGATAAAAAGTGACCTGAAAAAAAGTAAGTCTTATAATCATCGACGTACCGTCTAGCCACATGTCGGTGGAAAAAAAACGGTTCGAAGAGTAAATCCGACCGACGTGTGGATAATATTATTTGTTTTAAGATTTATTGTTTTTTTTGAAGAAGAAGAAGAACATTTTTTAGATATTATTAATTCTCCACCATAAGATGTATAATATTGTATATTATAATGTTCATTTTTTTAAACTTGTAAAGTTACTGTGCTGTTATTGTATTTCTAATACATTAACTTAACTTTAATTTAATTACAATACTTTCGATGCGGAATTATGGTTTTTTAATCAAGTGTTTAAATAGTTTAAGCCTGGACATTTAATTAAGCCTTCTCGATCAACGTTTTTTTTATCTCCTGATAAATAAATGTGTATATTTAAACTTCTATTGGTCTAATATAAGACCTTCATTTTTTTGAAATTTGTATCAGTTATATTTACCCCAAAAATAGAGGTTTCTTATGTTATTTTTCACGAAAAATGGATTTCGACCAGTTTTAAACTTCTGAAATTTTTATCATTAAATCAGAGACTCAAGTCAAATCCTTTAGCCTAAAAACGGTAATGAACCGAGATTTATTTATATATTTTTTTCAAAATCTAAAAAAAAACATGTATAATTTCATTTTAAATTTATTCGTTAGGCAAATTTTTCACTTTTTACTCACAAAATATGAAAAATATCAAATTTTACCAAGACATGTTTTATTTAATTTGCTTAGATAAAAAAACTGAAATTAAACAAAAATAATATAAAAAACTTTTATTTTTGGGGTCTATATGAGTGATAAAAATGTCAAAAAAATGGAGGTCTTATATTAGACCAATTAGAGGATTATAAAAAAAATGTCAAAAAATGTTGAGGAAGTCGGGCCGATGACCGCGTGGTTTGATTCAGAATGTATAAGTATTTTTTTTTTTTTTTTACCCTTTCCAGCGGCAATTAAACCAGTTTTTTTTCGTTGCCTCCTAGTTCATTTATAATAATAGTTCCCATATGCTGCAACGCACAAATGTACTTTTTTAATCGGCATTTATTATTATTATTTTTAATTTGGAGCGTCTGTTAGTCACGACGAGACTTGATACATATATTTTACTGTCAAAACCGGTGGTTTCCCATAAAAACAATTATAATTGTCGTTTGTTAGCATAAAGTAACGACCCGCTGTGGTACTCGCGCACTTCGATAATGGTAATAATTATTACTATGAGGTATTTTGTAATTATTAATCATCGAACACCAGTGGCGGCGTAGATGGCACGCACTAGAACGATTTATCGTTTTCAATTTATTTATTATTATTCAGCGGTTGACTGTTTAATCGCCACCACGAGTGCACAGTAGTTAATAAATTCAATATTTCATTGTTTACAGTTTACTAAATCAAATAAAAAGTTTTATTATTCAATTATTGTTTTATGAGAAAAATGCTACGTTATATTATATATTGACTAAAACTAAAAATTATGAAAAAAATTTATCAAATTACCTATATTGGACTGATCTTAAGATACGTCCAATGCTCAGTAGTATCTCTATAAATGTATTATATGCGTCATAAAATACTATTTAAATTTTATAATCCAAAAAACTGGACAAAATAAGATTTTTTTTTATTTACAAAAATACACAACAAAACGAAAAAAGTTTAACTTATTTCAAAGTTGGTGAAGTTTGATTAAATGGGTTAAGTGTTAAAAAATCCTGAGTAGATCTACACTCTGCAACAGTAATAATAATATAATAAACCGCGTTTGGAACACTAAGTTTTACTTTGGTTGGTCAGAAGCTTATTGCAGAAAAAATTATTAGTAAAACGATAAATAAGAACAAAAACCGAGCCTAATTAACTATTATTAATTGATGTACTGTTTTTTTTTTTAAATCTGTTTGCAACAAAATGTAGTTAATCTATCTTATCATCTTACAAACGATTTATAAGATTTGTCTCTGCGTTTATTATCGACTTCGAAGTATTCGTATTAAGTACAAAAGTACTGTTTCGCTCCAAAAATTGTTTAGTGTGACACGACGTCAGATAAAGTTCTCCTCTTTTTACTGTAAAAATATGGTGATTTTATAACAATTCCAAGTTCTTTTCCAAACTTTTTTTGTCATTTAAGTTCACTAAAATATAATATATGACAATTTTAAAACCCTATATATGTTATATACGAGTACATGTGTGTGACGCGCTGTCGGAGGCGCAAAACAGTTTGTTGTTGACACGTAAAAAGTACGGCGGCGGTCGGTGTGCAGTTTGTTGCAGCGGCGGTGACGGGTCGTCACCACCGGAAACCACCACCACCTCCGTCCTGCGCCACCGCCTCACCGCTGCCACTCCGTTGACGTCTCGACGGTATAATGTTGTATATTTAATAACGTCCATCACGAGCGGCTCGCCAATTATTATCATATATGGTCGCTAATTATTTATTTATCGAAATCCTTCGATGCGTTAATCCTTTCGGCCGTTGGGCACACGGCGGAGGTGCCGACGGCGTGCACCCGCGTAGACGGCTGTGTGTACAAGGGGGTTTGCAAACAGTTTTTGCGAGCGCGATGCCGAACCGTTTCAAAACCGACCAAAACATTAATCTACACCGCCGCCACCGCTGTTGCCCAGCTTTGGGTATACAACGGACAACGGAAACGTTACGGCGGAACGAAGGGTAGCTGATATGGCCGGTAAACGCGTGGTGTCCTGCGCCACTCCCTGGACGATATGCGGCGTGGGGGTGCAGAACGGGCCGTCGCGGCACGCACGCGCGCGCATATCGCACACGTCGGGGCCTGTCAGACACGCGCACACGCCACACGGCCGCTCTCCCGGGGGCCCCCGAGTGTGATCGACGGCGGCTACAGCAGTGGGGGATAGCTTGCCGTGGCCGGAGGGGTGGAGGAGGAGGAGGAAGAGGTGGAGTCGACGGCCCGCGCCGCTTGCAACGCCACCACCGCCGGAACAGCTGCACACGCCGAGGGGAACCGAACCAGGCCTCGTACGCGTACTAAATATAGACGACGGGCCCCGCCGAGTTTCGTGGACGACCGACACCGACAACGACTGCGATGGCGACGCACAGTCAGTGACGTTGCGGGGATCCCTTCTGTCTAACGTCGGTTCTGTTCTCTCAGTGCGGTGACGAACACTAGTCGAAAACAAACAAAGCGAACCAAAATTATTAACGAAACACACAACAATGTTCAGGTGCTAGTCGTATTTTCAACGCATAGTATAATTTTGTATTAATCATTTCGTTTGTGATCGTTTTTTCGTTTCAACAAATATCAATTATTAAAATTATTATTGTCGTTCGTTTACCGTCACTGAAATAAATATATTTTTTTCGTTTGTCCGAAATTGTCACCGGGAGTTTTTGTCCTAGTTCTCGTCTCGTCGCCAAGAGTAAAACAATAATCACAATATTATTATCATGTTGATGTCCGGCTCCATGACTAATCCGGACACTAGCTTGTTGGGTACGGCCGAAGGCCTGGTCGGCAGCCTGGCCAGCTTGACGGCAGTACCGGGCACCGGCGGCGGCAACAACGGCACCGGCACCGGTAGTCAACAGAAGGACACCACGTGGACCAAGCTGTTTGTCGGCGGCTTACCGTACCACACGACGGACAAATCGCTGCGAGACCACTTCGCCGTTTACGGCGACATCGAAGAAGCCGTAGTCATCACGGACAGGCAGTCCGGCAAGAGCAGAGGATACGGATTTGTGAGTATATATTATTAAAACGTATGATTCGCATATCTGATGTCCGGACAGATGTTCGACTGACAGAAAATTTTACTGTACAATGAATATACCAAGTGTCCAACAAGACTTCTTTCGTCGTTCAGATTGTGGAACGATAATAAAAACAACGAACAAATTTTGCCCCGATTTGCTCGTTCAAGTCCTTTGAATTCGATTAGATACCCGGATATTTCCTACTTTGCGCACGTCTAAGAAGGGACGAAAACCCGGATTTCCTCTTACAAACGTCTCCGGACGATTACTAAAGTCAACTTGTATAAAAACGAATTTTCATTTAAAGTACGATAGAAAAGATAAGGGGTTTTCCCCCAAAATATCTAGCCGAGTTTTTATTTTTTACTTCCACGTACACTAGATGTATTATTATTTTGTATAATATCGCCACAGTCGTTCTGGGACATATTGTGTACATTCCGTTTACACATGTGTGTGCCGTTTATCCTCCGTACCCGTATGTATATATTATAATAATGTGTACGCGGCGACGGTTAGGTCTCGGTTAGGCCGCAAAGAACACACGGTTTGTGACGCCAGTTCCTTTGAAAACATATATACTGTCGTTACAATATTCATAATAATATTACAATAACTCCCTGGTGGGCATTGCTTATGACAAACCCCGCAGCCGTTATCAGTGTTCGGTATCATCAGAATGATAATATACTCAACGTCTAGGCCCGACTGATAGGGCTGTATTCAAAAACAATAACGACGTCTCCAACTCAATTTTTCCTCGCCGCGCCGTAACGCGTTTGTCAACCGTAACACCTTTGCTCTGCCCGAGCATACACAATACACCTAATATATTATGCATAATTTATACACAAACAGCACTATTATCGTTTGCTGGCACGTATACCGAAACCTAGTCACGTCTGGCGATTTTTTTTTTTACCTAAGATCAGCTGTTCCACGTGCGCCCAATCATTTGCGCTGGAAAACGGTCAGCGAGTCTCTCGAGATGATACAGAATCTGTTAAGTTAGAAGAGGCTTCCAGTCGGTTAATATTAGACTTTGATTCTAACACCAGTTTGTCAGTTTAGTGGCGTGAGAAAAATAGTCCATCCGTATGCCTAAGTATTGCAATACCCAACCAAGAACTTTTCTTTTCCAGAGAATCTTTAATTTACAAAAAAAGATAAGTGAAATTTGCAAACTTTTCAACAAAGAATTATAAACTGTTTCTTTTTGCATGATATTTTTATTTTACTTAGACTTTTAACCAATTAAAAACTTGACATTTACTCAAATTCATAATAACAATAAAATATACCCGATAATTGATCTGTCTAATGCCTTAAAGTAAAAAAAAAAAATCCGCAAATTTATACATCATTAAGGCTGTGTTAAATTCGACTGTTCTGATTTAAGTCATTGGCTACTTGCTATTTTAATATTCATATTATACACCACAAATGAATAAAGCCGTCATTATCTACTTATATATGTATGTATTATATATAAAAGTATAGAGTATATGTATCTTTACCGAATATTCATCTGGGGTTGACCGTTACCTGACCTTAGACTGTCATTTGGTTACCAAGCTTTCTTTGTCTGCATAGTTCATAATGAGCTTTGTGACATTTACATTTTTCTGTGTAAACCAATTATTCAAGGAATTTACAGACAATGGGTTTAGTTTTTAATTTCCAGTGACGAGTGCCCTACAATTGAGAAGATGCTCATGCATCCAATATCAATTCAAGTTCCGTGCAGAGTTGGTGGTTTATATTTATAATTTTGGTAGTCTACAAAAAATATTTGCAGATAACTCCCACTGTGAATTTGGACACCGTATTGCAGAATTCACCGTTCAGTACTTACTATTTAACTGGGTGAGGGGAAGGCCGACAATGAACGGATTTTATTATTACCGATAACTGTTGTTCGGAAGCACTCGAGTAACAACAAACGAACGTGTGTATTCTGCGGTCCAGAGAATTGTAGTAATTAAAGTGAAAAGAGTTTAGACCCCATATAGGGTGTAAAAAGCGCGATTTTTCCCCCTTCCGTCCGACGGTGCAATGTACTTGTACTTTAAAACCGCTTCTCGTTAATTGTTATTAATCGTCTCACGGCCGTGTAATTAGCGATTCGTTTGTTCTTTATATTACTTAATTTTCGTACCTACTGTGTTTTACATAATAATATGTATAAAAAGCGGACGAAACCCACGTGTGTGCTGGCAAAACGCAAGATCCGGATCCGACTGTCGTTTAAACAGGGGAAACTATGCAGGCCAACGTTTTTTTTGTACCGGACCCATTGCATGTACTTACAGAATTTCTAGTCTTTAAATTAGCCGCGGTCGGTGGTGTGGACAAATCGTCTTTCCGGTCCAAAATTGCGCCCGGTCTCTCCCCTCTCGTGCCCCAACATTTGTTTCCATTAATTGTATAGGTCTTTTTCATTTACTCGGCCTCAATCGCAATTGCAAATAACACTGGACACACGCATACATGTCGGTATATGCAAGTGCCGTCAGAGAATGACTTCCCCACTCAGATTAGTTTTTAGTGTCCATTCAATGGTCCAATACCTTTGATTCGAAAGTTTGTGACGTTGACTATTAGAAAAATTGAACGGAATATTTGTGATGCTGATCATACATCTAAGATCGACACTGTCGTGTACTTTCGGTGGCGGAAGAATTGCTAACGTTTGCTGCAAATAGACAAATTGTTGACAGTGTCCCTTCGATTATTACCTAATACAATAATATATGCACGATAAACATTGAAGAGCCTCAGGGAAAGGCGACCTATTCGCGTTTTATTAATACCCAATAAATAGATACCATAACCATAAGGGTAGTTTGCTGGGATTAGACCGTCGTAAAAGCGTCTACCCGCCCCAAGAGTACATCATATAGTTGTTTACGTGCTGGCATATATACTATATGGTACATTAAAAACTTAGGTTTATAACCTCAAGTACATACTTAGCTTGCACCGGGGTATATTGTACATAAAACAATGGTTGCTGAACGGCAACCACGTGTGCGATTTTATCCAATATGATATCACGTTACAAACAATATTGTTCTAAGGAATGAACTTTGTTTTTGGCTTTCAGGTGATTATGGGCGACCGACCGGCAGCCGAGAGGGCATGCAAAGAACCCAACCCGATCATCGACGGCCGAAAAGCCAACGTGAACTTGGCCATTTTGGGAGCAAAACCTCGTGGCAATTTACAACCAGGTAAGTCATATAAGCAATATCTTAGAGACTCAAGTATAGGAGCATAGGCATTCACACATTTGGCTCGTTTACTATAACTAAGTTTATGCTCTACCCTCCTTGAATGTGCTTGGACGGCATAATTTATTTATATCTCTATCGCTCATGATTTAAGGCTGGCTAAACAAACATAAAATTTATTTGAGAAGTCACATTAAAATTGAACACAACTCTTCGCTTGCACCCGATACGGATACAAGATACTTAAATAATTATACTTGATACGTGTATCATTACAACATTTTCCACACATTGGTACGGTACATGCAAGTCAATACAATTTATTTTTCCTGACATTTATGCACTTTATTAAAATTATTTAGTAATACGATATTGTTAAATATTATAATATTACTAATGGGATTACTAATTTAATTTTTATAGCTGGTTTATCAACTTGATCAATTCATACCTAATATATTTATACGTCTATCGATTATTTGACGACACATGTGGTACTTGATACACTTTTTTGGATTAAAGTATCATCTATACTTGGAATCGATATTGTTATGTTTTCAATGTATCGCGCTAAAACAAAAACAATCGATTGATAAAATTAAAACGGGTTCGGCCCATCAATAGGAACTCGGACACATGCCCTAATGGCCGTTCGTGTAAAATCTGACAATTTCCACACCAGTCGGCGCCCTGTAACACAGCATTATATTATAGCACCTACATTTCAGAGGCTTTTAGCCCATCTCCCGGGGGAGGTTAACGACCGCCGCGGCCGCTATGAACCAATCATCGATTGCGCATTATAAATTACACCAATATTGCTGTTGCACAAAACTACCTACTACTACCGGTGTACAATAATTATCATACTATGATACGGCTTTTTATATTTGCATTAATGTATAAGGTGTAGTGTTTTTTTTTTTTACTCCGCGTACAAACAAACACACACACGCATCGTGTTAATGTATATAATAATGATATTAATAATATGTTGATATGTATGTATGTATGTATGTATGTATATCATACCGGTGTATATACGAAAACGTGTACAACATACGTTTTTTTCACCTAGTCTAAAAAAACCCAAACGACGGCTGTGGAGGGACCACCGTAACATATGGTTATCCTGTTGGTCTCGTGTGTGTGTGTGTGTGTGTGTGTGTAGCAGTTAGGCACACTGGGTCGGGGTGGAGTATATGTGTGTGTATGTGTGTATAAATGTATATATATTTTTTTTATGCTTAAGCCGTGTGCGAGGTCATTGACACGAAACCAACTGCCCCTGCTGCTCACGGGCCATGCCAAATTAGAACGAACCGGGGAACACTAACCCCGAGTTTTATTTTTGTACGTAACAATCATTCACAGTTGCACGTTCCGTTTCGTATTTATACAACATGTACACACGTCATATGCTGCTTCCCCCTTCGGTGCGGCCGCCGCCGCCGGTGTTGCACCCCCTTAAACCGGATTTAACCATGCCGCTGCAGTTCTCTGTTCATTTCACCCGCTTTATTACTTACACCAGAGACTATTCAACCGAAACAAGTTTTTACTATATGCTATTATTCGAAATATGCATACATGCCGCGTATTCGTATTTTTATATTTTTTTTCATTCTATTATTATTCGAGTATAGGTGCAATGATAATTGTTATTGTTAATACACATGCACGGCGAGATGACGGGCACGCGTTTGCTAGAAATCTACCAGTGACACCGGGGTTGCATTTTTTCTGGAAAAATAAAATAGGGAGAAACTTAAACACCGAGTAACATTCCTTTCTTCTCGCAAATAACTAAAGGAACTAACTAGGGGTTATCAATAACTCTATATGGTTATCAACCTTTTTAAATCAAGAAAAAACTAAATAATAAATTGTTGATAACCGGTTGTAATCAAAACTTTCAGAGTTATCAGCGTTTTGTGTAGGCTAAATAAGGGAGGAGCGGTTGAGCATAGGGTGCAGCTGATAAAAAAAATACTACACTGCACTTCCACTCCCGCCTAGTCATTAAATAACTCTAAAAGTAAAAATGTTTGTAACTGATTATCGACTAATCAAAATTTTCCGAAATAAAAGCTTAATTGGTTGGTTAAAAGCATATATACGTTAACAATAATGTTTCAAAAGAAGTCCATTTGGAAAATACCAAGAGTTTATTAAACTTACTTGCAGCACCATAGAGTTGTCAATGGCTTATACATTGTATAATTATTTTATTTATCATATATAGAACAAATATAATCATACTTAATATTATGTATTTTACGGAAAACTTCAACGTTTGCCCAAAGTTTTTCTACACTTTGAGATTGTCCGTTGACCCAAAGTACAGATAATAGTTTTCGACTTTTTCCGGGCACAACTTTCTCGTACAGCAACTATGTACGAATTTGATCTCTGCACGGCGGCGAAAACAAATTTAGGTTGTGTTCCGGTTTTTTTTCTTTGAAAAAAAACAAAACTAATTAAACTATAAAGCGTATGACTTTTCTGCGAGCCGGGTATATCTTATTCTTTTTTCACAATTTATTTCGGTGATCCTCGGCCGATAGTTTAACGGACTTTGCTAAAGAATATATAGCGAAGAATAGTATAGCGAAACCGATGTATATATATATATATATATATATTTCGTTATTCTACATTATCAGCCGCAATAAAACCAAACCGAAATTAATGAATTCTTCTTATTTACCGCAAGCGCCAAAGTTCCTAGTACAATATTGCTAGCAAAGTCATCCGCATTGTCCTGTACGTTGGTCTGTTAATAAAAAAACTTTTCAAAGTATAATTGAACGATGTTGTGCAAGTTGTGGCAAAACGTTTTATTATATAAATAAAATACCCTTTGAATTCCGTATTTTCCAATAGTACTATGATTTCCGTCGGTTCGCTACTGCGGCGCTAATATGTTTACCAAGAAAAAGGATTGCCGTTATTTGCGTGCATCCCAATTTGATATTATAATGTACATTGTGTATGATGCGAATTTCGAAGACCATAATACGATTACCGGCTTATGCGGTGTTATATAACAACATTGGACGGTTAGGTATTTGGGGAAGAATAATAAATTATATACACACATATCATACATATAAGCAAGTGCGCAAATTGAAACCGACACGACCGGGTAATTGGAGTTTGAGTAAGTTTAAGCATCACGGGGGGAATGCAAGTACGTTAATTAAAAAAAATATAATAATAACAATAAGCGTAATAGGGCTTTTATCCTATAAGTGTCTACTGGCTACGCTAGCAATAATTTCAACATAAAATATTATCAAAAAGGGAAACAGTAGTATTAGCGAAATGAAAAATACCAATAGTTATTTTATCGAATGGTTTTCGATTTAATCGACAATCAACAATAATTAATAACACTTATTTTTTTTTATTATTAAATAGTTTTAAATGTTCAGTTATTTTAACTGAACGAAGTTAAATTAACACAATCTAGCCCTCCTCCTATTTAACATTTTTAAGTTTAAAAGTGATCATTCAAGAATGGTTATCAACGAGTCAACCTTTTCCTAAAACTGTTCCTAATTTAAAGTGGTATTAAAATATGTACGTTATTATTTAAGTTTCAGAATCTGATATGGTATTTTTATATTATTGTAAAATAACATTTACACAAAGGCATTTTCAAAATAAAATATAAATAAAAAATTGCAACTGTTCTCCGAGAAAACGAGTGGATCACATTAACACCCTGAATAATTTCATATCCTAACCCTAACCGTATTACTCGGAAACGGTGTACATAGTGCGGCTAGGCTATTTTTCCAAAATTCAGCTTAGCCACTATCATCATATCGTAGTGAAAAAAAAGTTTCTTCGAGAAATCTCAAAAATGCACACTCCCGCATTTATTATTTACCCAAGTAAGCTGTATTCGGTTTAAGGGTGTACACCGGCAATAAGAACGCATTGGGTTTTCGTTTAATAACCGCCGGGGGGGTTTTAAAAATGCAGTCTCGTTTCGGTCGTAAACACCCGGGCGTCGGTGGCGGCCAGACCGATAAAATGGACGTCACCCCTTCCTTCTCCTCCCTATTCTTCTTCTCTCCCCCCCCCCCCCATTTGGAGCTTCCCGGTCGCTTGCCTTATTCTTCTGCGCTAAACTTCATACCGTACAGTTATACTACCCTTCGGCGCGAGTCTTTCACTTGGACGAGTAACCACGGTAACGGCAAACACATTCGGACACAAAAACCCCGGGAAACGCGGTGACAGAGAGTGCACACATACCTATAATACTCTCTGTTAAGTTTGTACATAACAAGTGAAAACGAATTCCTTTTGATAGCTCATTATTTTCCAAACTTTAAAATACCTGTTTTTTTTTAGATTTATAATAAAAAATACAACAGCACAAGGCGCTGACAAATCATGTCCGAGTTGGTTTCTGCTCTTAAATTTGCCACCATGAAAATCTTATCCCGAGTGCGACAAAACGTTTAGTAACAAAAAAGTATTATTCATTCTTTTAACGAATAGTAGAATTTGTGTCGAACCTGTTGGATTCGCCGGCAACGAATTTTACTCACGATTTATTTCGCTCAAATTCGTTTATAAAAACCTTTCGTGTTCGTTCCGTTTTCAGAATACTAATACAGTTTCTTATATATCATCCCCTTTAGTATCTAAGTTCGGTATATTTGATGTGACGAATGCAACGTCGGAACGGCCAATTCTTCTCTACGTTCTACCTCGCGAACCCTTTTATTTTTTATTACCATAATATTTGAACGTTCAATTGTAATACCCGGAATTATTTTTCCGGTGTCCAAGAAACTCTGATTGAGATGAGTATATACTATTTTTCAATTTTGATATTGTATAGTTTACATACATATCCAATTCGGATACACATTTACAAGTTGTATATAAAATAAGAATTTATATGACTAAATATAACGTTATTTTTGTATGAAAATTCTAACTCTAGTGGTTACAGTGAACGGTTACACTCCTAATCT